CTGGTTATCTGCAATGACATAAGTAGGCTGGAATAACCAGATGGAAGTAATCCGTTAGAAATTGTGAGGGGGGTTTTAAAAGACACGTTTGCACATGGGATTTTTTACTGATGCGCAAATTCAAAGCAACGATGAGCCACTGTTTGAGGGGAAATCCATGAATTTCTACCTCAGAAGCCATTTGCATACTACGTCAGAGCACACAATGTAACAGTTTGAAATAACCACTAACCAAGATAAAGCAATAACCAAGATGGGATTAGGTCATTTTGGTTCCACTGGCACACCATTCACAGATCCATCGGCTTCAGAACTGTGCTGATAACTCAGGCACCAAATACAATTTCCCTGGATTCTACACTCCCAAACAAAAAAACATGCCCAAATTGAAATGAGCATTTCCTGGTTCCTGCGCAGTAATCACAAAGACACAAAAGAGATGACCCCTCTGATGTCTCCTGAAAAGCAATCTGTAATTTTCTTGTCACTGCTCGTTAAATCTTGAGCACTGGCCGGCGCTATGCTGTGCAGTGTCATACTGACATACAGCAGGCTTTATCTGCTGCTGGACTGAACTAACTGTCCGCCGAGTCCACTGGCTAGCATCAGTGTTATCTTCTGTTAGATGACACTCCTTTTCATTCGCTGAAGTCTGATAAAAAGCAGGCAGGCCAGTCCTTTGAGCATAGAATAACCTCTGGCCCTATGTGGCAGTACTGTGTGGAGTACTGCAGTTAAAAAGCACAATGCTTTGAAACTGCAAGATGACACTAGGAACAAAAAGAGAAGATGAGATCACTTTTTAGCTATACTAGGAAATTGTCTTTTGGCATACCCTAGCTTGCTCTCCAAGAGACACACAGGGAGAGAAGCTTGGAGTCAGAGCACAGGGTCAGCCATTTACACAGCACCCCTGGAACAGTTGGGGCAAAGGGCCTTGCTCAGGGACCCAATGGAGTAGGATTTCTCAGCCAGCCAGGGGTTTTGAACCAGCAACCATCCAGCCAGAGGCACAGAGCCTTAGCCCCAGAGCCACCTCTCTGCCAGAAAGACCACAAGAATGATCACAGTGGACTTCCTGCAAACAGTTGAATGCTGAGCAGTTTTTACTGAAAGCTGCATCATGCTCTGGTCCATATCGTTAGATCTGATCCCAGTCGAGCACCTGTGGGATGAGCTCAGTTCACAGTTCATATATTTCACCTTATGAAATTTCTTATTGATACCAATTTCTATGTACAGAAAGTTCGTATCTCTAACGTTTGTAACTTGCAGACCAAGTGTAGTATTTGATGGCATGAATATGGCCTGTGTTTCTCTTGTATACTGTATGTTTATTTTTGTCCCTCACTGCTGTCAGTAGATGGTGTGTTTGGTTGCTGTTACTAATATTAAGCAAAGTGTTTGGTAGGATAAGTTCAGTAGACAAAGCAATGTGGCTGGTGGCCACATTTAATTTCATGTTTTTTGTTTAAGAAACATTTGATTTTGTCAATTTCCAACCTGTTAATAAAGCAAAGAATTTTCCTGGACATTTAGAGCTTACATTTGTGTCAAAGGGTCATCGTGTGTCATTTCAGGTCTCTGAACCAGCTTGACCTAAATCATCTTGAGATTAGGTACTTCCACAGTGTGCACAGGAAGCACAGGAAGATTTGTCAAAAGTGATTTGGTGTTATCTTGGAAATTTCACAACACTGTAGAATACTTTGTTTCTCAAATAAATGATTTCAAAATGCCTTTTCACACTGAGGCTGACAATGTGCAACTCTGCACACTTTTTCATCACTTTTGGTCTATTCTCAGTACAAAGTGTTATAGCCAAATTAGAATGTGTTTTTATCATTTGTTAAAACCCGTAAAGCTATTCTGTAAAGCCTGAGACATCGAGAGTTAACATCTCCTCAGTTAACCCTTCACTAATTCAGAATTTGTTTGAAATTCAGCAGAACAGGTGACTTACAGCACCACATGGTGTGAAAATAAATGTCTGTAGTATTGGGCCCAGTCATGCCACAGTGCTAAGAATTAAGTGGTCTTTTGTCTCCTTATGTATCAGTGTGACTCTAGCTTGAGGTTAAAACCACCCTCAAAAACGATGCCACCCTCATACAGGAGACTACATTAAAAAGTTTTGTGGTACAAAATATATATTTTTGAGGTACAATATATAAAGTTTTGGAGGTACAAATATTGGTAGGAAATCTGGGGGAGACAGTAACACAACATAGAAAATGGGTTTTCTTTGTGAATGCAGATGTAAGGACTGAGTTTTTAATAATAAAAACTTGGACAAACAGCCAAATAAGGAAGAAACTGTGCAAACAGGCCAACAATCCTTAAATAATTTAAAAATCTCCACATACTATAATTTCTCCTGCATCTGGGAGACTGCAGGTTGTGGGTTCAGACTGGCTCTGGTCCTTGCGCTCACTGTGTGCTCACTTGGGCATGACTGGCACTGTGTGCAAGTTCTAAGTCTTAATAAAGGGATGAATTACACACTGCAAAGTGCATTGAGGCAATCAAACTAAAAGATGGACAGAATTAAGCTAAGGTTAAACAGCAAGGATGCAGGATAACATCAATCCCGTTTGGAACTTTTATGTTTCAGATGTGCTGAAGTCACTGGAACAAAACACCTGCCTTTTTGAAAGATTTTTTCTTAACTTGATTAACTTGCAAGCTATTGAACTCACTGAGCGCTTGATATTTTAACATGGGCTTTTTTACCTATTTAACTTGAGCCACATAGAAATTCTGCTGAGAATCAACTATAACTCAGAAAATGCCAGTTTGTGGGGTTTCATCTCAGGTGCAGTCTGAACAACACAGTGAATGAAGTGGGTGCTGTCAGCTGTGAGTATTTTGGTTTCCTCTGTTTTACCACCATCTCCCAATTGTCCTCAGCAAAGAAGCTTGTGCTGTAAGTGCAAACACACAAGTCCACACTACAGCCCGATGCCTCGTTCGGCCAGATCTCGTCCTGGTTACCACAGCGTTAAGTGGACTGAAAACACCAGTCAATCACAGGGTAACCCACAGTACCGCTGGTCCCCAATTATACAGCTGGCTGGACTAGAGAAACTGGGGTGAAGAACCTCACTGACCGTATAACAGCAGAGGCGATGATGAGGATATGACACCCTGTTAGCTACGAATCCAGACATTCACCCTCTACTCCGTGCTGTGCTGTCAGTGAGGCACTTTGCCCATTTTTAACTGCTAACTGCTTGAAACCTGCATGGCCCACTAATCTTCTGCGGCACTGAGCAATAAAAAATAAAACTTAGGAAACTGAGAAGTGGTGGAAACATGAAGGTCAACAAAGGGGAAACATCCATAACCCCACACTAAGTGGATAAAGCAGGAATGTAAATGTTCCTTACTTTTTAGGTTTTTTTTCTATTGTGCGCAATTCAGAGCATCAGAGCCTCCAGAAACACACCAGGGGGCTGGAACGAATGGATCAAGTGGACACACAGCAGATCAATGCAGCTGCACTCAACAGATGTGCTAGTGGGAGTACAGCGGACTGAGTCTGGCACCCGGCAGTATCTGTTTAATAACAGTTTCCTCCTGCTTGACTCTTTCTCCTTGCGTTGGGTTTATCTCCTCGGTCCTCAGGGGTGTTGGAATGTGTTCAGGCAGCACTGGTCTCGATGCTCGATACCGAGCCTGGTGGAAAACTGGGCTGGACTGCCGGGATGCTCTGGCTGAGATCCAGGCTGGTCTCTCCGGACTGCAGAGGGCTTGAGAGAGGAAGAGTCCAACGAGGTTGTCAAGGAAAGATCTCCCCTGGTCACCGGCCTCTCTCAGATGTCTTCCCCACTCCACCGTTCAGAGCTGTGCATGAAGACTGCTTCACAGAGCTGGGGACCTGGGTTCAATTTCTGGGGTGCTTTCTGCATGGAGTTTGTATGTTCTCCCTGTGTTTCCAGGTGCTCCGGTTTCCTCCAACAGTCTAAAGACATACTGGGAAGTTAACTGAGAAAACTGGTCCTTGTGGGAGTGTCTGTGTCTCTGTGTTTGCGTCTGTCCTGTGATGGATAGGTGTCCCGTCCAGGTGTACCCTGCCTTGTGCCTGTTGCTTGCTGGGATAGACTCTGGCTCCCCCACAACCCTCAATTGGATGAAGTGGTTAGAAAACAGATTGTTTTTTATCATAAATAAACTGATAAATTAAGAAGAAAACAAAGAATTTATTTATCATAAATAAACTGATAAATTAAGAAGAAAACAAAGAATTAATGTGAACACAAGAAATACAGTGAGTCTCACTCCCTTGCTGTGGATCAAGCAAGTGTAGATACAATACATCTCACAGCTCTTTGCCTCCCTGCCTGGGTGTCTGGGCTCTATGGTGTTCTGGTAACAAATTGAACAGTGATTTCACTGCCGTTGGTAAGACTGCTTGCAAACTCTGCCTGCATTTCTCCCTCCCAACCTTGGAAACACAACAAACTCTTTGGTTCTTCAGACAGAGCCGTACTAATGTGCAGAATGAATGACCCTCACTGCATCATAGAGGTTAACACTCTGGGATCTTTTGACAAAGTGTCAGTGTTGCTTAGTGAGGGCTCACTCTCAAAAGCTTTTTCTGCTCTAAGGCAAAATTAGTTCCGCCTTTTCAATCTCCGGATATTCTGCATAACAAAAGTCCAAAAAGTGTGAAAAAAGGGAATTAATACACAATTTCTCTTTCACACACGTCATGTACTGTATGGGCCCACTTGGAAAATGTCCACTTTTACAAAACCAGAAGCAGGATTTGCTGTGGGACAAAAAAAAAAAACAACTTTGGAAATCCCCTGCTGTTACAAAGTCCTGGTGGACCAATTCACATCTTTAAAAAAATAAATTTATTTTAATGAGGTCGCAAAAAAACAAAACACAAACGAGAAAAAACAGGCATGATCACTCACATTGCTGACATTCTGTTACGTGACGAGGTCCTAAATACGGCAACTTTCATTGCTGCGGGAAACAAGAAGCAGTTCTGTTCCCTAAATCCTTCAGTTTTCTTCTGTCTTTTTCCGCTAGAATTCTGTGCGTATTCATTTCCTTTTGCAGAAATGTTTCCAGGATGTTATCTGTTAACACATCCCAGCCAATTGCTCCCAAGGATGGGTGCTCTGAATGCAAAGTGGCTATGGAGATGATCCAAGGGGAGTGCCCTGCGACAGAGCCTATATATACCCAGGTTTAGGAAAGCTGCTGTAGAGAAACAGATGGTCTGCGCTGAAGACCTGGCTACACTTGAGCACACCTAGAGGTAATTCTCATTTCTTTTTTTTATTCTTTATATGAAGCCAACTGCTTATGATGTGGGTATTCCTGATTTATGACAAAAATACGTTCTGCTCTGGCATTATTGATTTGAGTAATGGGAAAAAAATAGGGGCTTGGATCAGTGCCATGATAAGACTTTCACCAGCTCCTGAATTTTAAAGATAGAAGAATAAACAGGACAAGGATGTTGTTGTTAAACAAATATTGACTTTGCTGGCCGTCTTTGTGGGTCTGTGCAGATTAGAAATGTAGGGGTTATTGGATTCATTATCTGGGGCTGTTTTTTTTACTGGTCAAGAAATTAGATGATTTCTTCTTAATTTTTCATGAAGATAAAATCCAGAATCTGGGTGGTTGGGCACACATTTCTCTTTTCTCCAACTTGCAGCATTTGGCTGAGACCCTCTTAAATTCCTGATTCTGTCCGTTGTGTTTAAAAGAACATATTTCATGGGATTTGCTGGGGAAACGCATTCTTTTTGCTTTCAAGAAAAGCACATTCCTGGAATCCAGTTCGTCACAGGGAAACCAGACACCTAGGCAGGCACTAGTTTGATAGCAAAATTATCAAAGCTGTTTTAGATCAAGATGAAGATAAAAAAATGCATTCTGGATACAAGGAACCCTATGAAGGATTTGTTGACTAAATCCAGGATTTTCATTTGAGAAATTAATTTAAAATTAATTTGCTAAAGAAATATGTAAGGTGGTGATTCCATTGTCTTGAGTCTAATATGCTGGTTGTTTTAACAAAACTGGTTAAATGGAGATTTCATGTTGACTCAGTTGTCTGATTCAACAGACCTTGATAAACAGTGCTCTTTGTGTGACAATGTTAGAGGGAATATTTAGTCTACAATCCTTTTCAGCAGTGTGCCTTGGGAACTGGAAGAATAAAGAATAAGGAATAAAGAATGCACTGTACACAGGGCTGTTTTGTTACTGTGTAAAGTACTGGTTGTTGTATAGATTCTGAAAATAGATGTTTAATGTCCTGTACACCACAAAATTGGTTGGGAACTAGATGAGGCTTGATTTTACAACAGAAGAAACAAACACTGAAGTGGGCTAACTTTGAAATGCCAGAACATACAGTGAATATTGGAATTTTCAAACTGTTTTTTAATAAATGCAATAGCAATAAGCTTTTAAGAGTTAAAGAACAGGGCGTGCCTCTTCTGCAGTGCTGACTGGCTCTTGGTCTGGGGTATGTGGTTTTCACCAGAGTCCTTTCCTACTGAGTACTAAAAGGACGGCATTTGTTTTGTCCATTAACATAAATATCCATTGTTTTTTCATGACATTGCCTGTTTTGAACATCTGTGCCTGATTTGACTTTGGGGATCAATGTGTGAGCACACGTTTCATGTTTTAAAGAATCGTCAAGATCTTCCGATACAAGAAATCCCAATTTCTGCTTTTGAGCATTCGTTGTTGTGTGTGTGTGTGTGTGTGAAACAAATCAAATTAGCCCCCCTTTCATATTTCTGCATTGCGTAGAATGACTCAATACCACTGAAGTCTGGGTTGCAGTTGTGTTCAGAGTCAGAAGGCGTGGCATAGAGTTAGACTGTGACGTCCTCCGTGATACACTAGTGTGAGCATTGTTCCGAGTTGCTGGGTTGAATACGTGTCCTGGATGTTTTTGTGCAACAAAGAACTGTTGATTGTACAGGCTTATAATTGAAATTAGACACTGGCAGGTTTTTAAATACCCTGTAGATACACGTTTATAGAATTTGTTACACTTTTGCCCAGACTTTGCATTGTTACTGCTGTTACTACTAATTCGACATAAAATCGTTTATTAATATCACAGCCTCTGGAGCCACTGTATGTCAATGGTACAACAATAGGATGATACATTTTCATTTAATGTGTGCAAATCAAAGGGTTTTTGGTGACGTTTGACTGAGGCATACACACTAATACACACAATCGTTCTTTCTGTGCTGAAGTATGTGTCAGGATTCAGAGCAATTCCAAACATTTGAGGTCTTGCACTTAAAATCCTAAATTCCTGGTCCATATTTTTGTATCTATACGCCCACGAACCAAAACCAACAGTTGATCTCAGATTCATTTCCTGCTTCTCTTTCAGCACGATCGCCTGCTCGTTCTGAAGGCTGGAAGAGCTTGTTGCTCTGTTAAAGCACCAATCATGGAGCGCGTGGAAGAATGGGTGATGGAAAACAAGGAGAAGATCGAGCAGGGAGTGGAGATCATGGGGAAAGGGTGCGAGATCCTCGCCGCTACAGTCGGGCAGCTTCACCCCATCCTGGAGGCCGTGTTCGTGGCTTCCAAAGAGATTCTCTGCAACCCAGAGAGCAAAGAAGCAAAGTACTTGACCGAGCAGTTTGAGAAGGTCAACCAGAGGCTGGAAGGCATTCAGGATGATATTGAGTCCATTCAGAGAGAACGGCAGAAGATCTCCATGAACAAGCAGAACTTCGACCTGGAGGTGCAGATGATCAGCCAGTACGAGAAGTACCTGGAGTTCGTCAGCGCCAAACCCAAGTTCAAGGAGGTCAGGAAGGACAAATTCATGAACCACTTCCAAGCCACGGATGGGGACATGAACCTGGACGCCCTGTACAACGCAGTGATTGGGGAAAACCTGTCTGGGGAGTCGGTGCTGGAGACCGTGCTGGTCACGGAGGAGAGGAGCCGCAGAGCGGTGGAGGAGTTCTGCGCCCAGCTGAAGAAGCTCTTCCTGGTGGGGCTGATCGCCGTCATGGGCCACGCCTCCCTGAAGGAGGGGGCGGTGGGGGAGGCGCTCATGAGGGAGTGGGGTCAGAGGATGGAGGAGGTGGAGAGGCGCATGAAGGCGGCCGTGGACGACTGCACCAACAACTTCGCCGCCCAGGCCAGAACCGACATGGAGAACCAGGTGCGGGACAAACAGGCCAAACTGGACCAGGAGTTCGTCCAGCCGCTCCTGGACTTCTTGGGGAAGAAGTACGACTGGGTCTTCTGGTCGGTGCGGGTGTTCAGCCACTCCGGGCTGTGGTTCTGGAACTGGCTGGCTGGTAAGAAGTACCAGGGCAGCGGGGGTGGAAACTTCTTCGATGTCGTGACTAAACACAACGTCAAGGTCGTGGTGTCCTACAGCGTGGGCCCCACGCCCATAAACAAAAGCAAAATCCAGGAGCTGATCGAGAGGCAGAAAATGACGAGCAACATGGTGGACTTGGCCCAGTCTATCTACAACGGCGTGCCCAAGTGCATCGTGCACGCCATCAGCCGCTACAAGGACGTGGTGGAATCCAACAACTTTCCCGAAGATTGCTATTACTATACAAAGCACAAAAAAGCCTATCTGTGCATCCATTCCGAATAATCCACAGACATGTGGACCTACATTGGGCGTCTACAGCTTGGATCACACACAAGCTTTCAAATAGAAGCTTCTCGCACACAACAACACAACAACACAACGCAGTGTTTTCGTAAAACTTCGGCAGATCTGAAATTACGCTCTCATGCTGGATCGCGGTTCTCGTACGAGGGACTAAATTGTGCAACAGATTGTATATTAGCCTGTTTTTTTTTTCTTACAAGCTCTGAGCTACACACACTCAACATTTTTATGATTTAAAGGCTCATCTCAAACCGGGAACGTCCCGTCTCTGCAACAGTCAAGAAACACGTTTAGTCTGGTGGCGAGAGAACAAAAAAAGAACGTGTTATGTAAAATATATGAAAATGTGTGCTTTATTTTTTAAATATGACTTGTCAATTAACCCCAGTGGGTAGGTTTAAATAAAAAAAAAACATCATGCACTATATAAATATACTGTATATAAAAATGAATGGAGGACATATACATTTGTAAATCCCCCCACAAAACGCTTTGATTCTTTCGTCGTTTCATTATGAATTTACCATTATAAACCAAAGCAAGATGGACTATGTTGATTTTCATTGTTTACATTCCTGGCTTTTATGGCTGTTAAGATGGTTGGTGATCAGTGGGAATAAAAATGCACTTCTATACAGATTTGTTTTGAATTGGGTTTTTTTTTTATCAGACATGGAAAAAGTTTGCATTATTTGAACAGACGTTACTATGGCAAATAACAGAACCTGCGGTTTTCAGAACTGGATTCCGGGCATAATTGTACTTGATTTTTTGTTTTTTACTGCAGCCTATGAACGGGCTGTCGATGTTTAAACTCGAACGTACAGAGCAGCAGGTTTCCTCAAGACGCGGTGCTTTGAGACCTGCGGCAGCGACACTCGGACTCGCTCCATTTCGTGTCGCTGGGGATCTTAACGCCTCCTACGGTACAGGAGTTAGCTGTGGTCCGCACTCCTTGTTAAGCGTACGTGGGCGGATTAAAATATGAACAACATTTCATGTGTCTGGCATTCGTCATCGGAGATAAATCTCACAGCTTCAAGAATTGACAAAAATGGACTATTCGCCCCGTAGTCTACTTCAGTATGTGCCCACAGCCACAGGGAGCAGGTACTGGGCGAGTACTCGGCCCACCTCTGCCTCCGAAAACGCCATTGGAGCTCACAAGCCCCCAGTTACGAATCGACAATCAGGTCTTCGAGAAGAGACGTTGCTTTCAACGGCTCGCATCAGTATTAAGACTTAGGGCAGATTCCGAGTTTCAAACCCCCTAAATTCAGTCGACCTTGAGATTTGTTTTCGGTCTTTTAAAAGGAAGGGCGGTGAAACAAATATACATTAAGATAACCAGTAGCAAACAAATATCAACCATGACTTTTACGGTCGGTTATACAGGAAATGAGGGCCGGAACAGAGGGCAGACCGAAAAAAAAAACAATTATGGTTTCTACTAATTATGTACTGCGTTAAAGTATGATTTTGCTGTGTCCAGGAAGCTCAAACTTTTACAGCCAATTTCTATATGTAACTATTATATACCCAACATATAATATAGTGCACGGGTCCGTCAAAAGGAGAGTGTTTGGTCTAAGGCTGTGCTGTTTTAACCAACTGTAGAGGAA